TTAAAATATTGATATTTTTGAACAATGTGCAGTTAAAAAAAAGAAATATTTAGATTTATTTGTAATATTATTTTATAGAATAATGTGTGGTTGAAAGGAAGAAAGAAAAAAAAAGCATTATAATTTTAATGGTGGCCAAACAGGGGCTTAAGAGAATGGAGAGGTCATGCGTCTGATTTTTTCATGTCCTTATCTTGGAAAAAAAATGTATTATTGAATGTTGATTTTTTGGAGAATGTGTAGTTATAAAGTCAAAGAAAATCGATTTACATGTTAAATTTTTTATTGAAGAATATGTGGTCGAAAATAAGTTTGAAGAAATGGGACTCGAACAAGGACTTAAGAGTTTATTTGCAAAGATTTTCCAAAAAGAAAAATGATTTTTTAGAATGTGTTGTCAAAAAGCAGATAAAATTATGGATCTAAAAAATTGTGTGATTAAAAATAAAGCTGTTAATAAAAAATAGAGTTCAATTGAATGCTTAAGCCCTTGTTTGATGGCCCTTATTGAGAAAATTTGATATTTTGAATAATGATTTTTTGAAGAATGAGTGGTTAAAGGTAATAAAAATTTTGGATTTACGTCTAAAATATTTTATTGTGTTAATGCATAATTAAATCGAATATAAGAATTAAAGAATCTTGTTTTTATGGGAGACAAAGAGTGACTAAATTTCAAATTTACATTTTCAAAGAGCTGTTTGTAGAACATTTTAAAGTAAAAATTCTACCCATTTGAATACGAAAATAAAAGTTCGCAAATTTGACTCTCCACCTTTTGGGTTGGAATATACAAAAATTAACAAAAACGATTTTTTTTTTTCATAATTAGGCTATATTTTTTCAAAAAAATACATTCTTAAATATAATTTGACATCATTTCAACCACACATTCTTCATGAAACAGACACGCTTAATCCTAGTTTTGAACAAATGGTACACATAACTATATAGTAGAATTGTAGACACCACCGCCATCCAACATAACAAACATGGGAGTTGGGGCATGTCTTTCGAGTTTGAAACACAACTGTTGAATCATCTGAATTAGATTCCATAAACAAATCCAGAAGCATGAAACTTTTGTCTTGTAATAGCATCAATTTGGTGAATCATTTCAGGCTTCAAGTAGTTTATGTGATCACCAACTTTCCCATTTCTGAAAAATGAATTATACGGCAATGGAAAACACTCTGGCGTCTCACTCGACTTGTTAACTTCGTGATTACTCAACGTTTCAAAGCCACAACTTTTCACAATTTCCTCAATTTTTTCTTCTGCATTTTCACCTTCAAATGGACACCCAAGAAATCCAGCCAATCTTTTCACTTGTTTGTTTCCATCTTCCTTAAGTTCCTCGAAGGTAACAAAGAATACTTTCCAAGGCCTTTTAAGGCTTTCTTCCCTGTAAGCCAAAACATGATCATAATACGGGCCGAAAGGTAAAACCCCATTGCAGAACTGATCAACAGCAGCCTCTAGTGTCCATGGATCTTCGTGGAATTTCTTTGCTTTTTGTATGAAATGCCAAAGGGAAACGAGAGTGTCCTTTGGATTTCTTGTAACATAAACAATTTTACAATCTGAGGAGTTGAGGACATCGCCTATAATCTGGTAAGGAATATGGGTTCCAAGAATTCTAACTTTTTGATCAGTAAATTCAGGGTCTTTTCCATTGGATTCAAGAAATAGTTTTGTTTCTAGAGATGGAATGAGTTCATGGGGGTGGTTGAAAATCAGGGATTTTTCTTCTGAAGATCTGAAAATAATGGAATGTAAAAGAGCTTTAAGCCATGTAGTGCCAGTTTTGGGGAAAGAAGCAAGAATTACATCAGTTGGAAGTGGCTTGAAATTCTCAACAACCTTTTTTGTGGATTCAAGATAAGTTGTCCAAATCCAAGAGCCCTTAAATTTGTAGAGAAATTCATCAGAAAACCATTTTTGTTTTTGTGAAGTTAATGACCATGCACTTATACTTACTCATCATTTATGAATAAAGATAAAGGGCGTAATAAAGAACATTAGTTCATAGTTCCCGTTCCTTATGTAAAGCAAGTGCAGATTTTGAAAAATCAAAGCAGAACCTTTGCAATGTTTGCCGGGATGCTTGTTGGAACGACATTTTTGGTAAGATAGCAAGTAACATAGGTGATGAGACAATAAATTTTGGCTATAGGTAACGAATACACATAAAACTAAATTGCATTACACCCATACTAAGATAGAACATACGTTGTTACGTCCTTCATAAGTTCTAGTACAAACATAATTCGATTAACAAGTTCAACCCAATAAAACTAATCAAGTGGCCTCCTTTGTTTCCCGTTTCCTTCCAAACTTTCATTTCCCTTGCCAAAAGTAATGTTCAAGTTAATCTCTACATCTCGTTCGTAGGATATTCGAGCTAGAGTTTTGAACATTCTTGGCAAATCTTCGACTTCTTCATTTTGCCGCAACATTGAGCGCTTCATTAATGGTACTCGATTCTCCACTTGACTCTCCTTGTTCTACCCATTCGAAAAATCCACATTTCTTATTGCATGTGTTGAATAATCGCCCTTTGTTACACGTCTGCTTTTCAACTTTAAAACATTTTTGAAATCCATGTGCACACCTTGGGCAACGACGTTTTCTAGGGCATTCATTGAAAAAATGCCCATTGCTTCTACAGTTGTGACAAATTTCAGCATTCCTTCCTTTCATATCCTTAGATGGAAAACAAGCACATAAATTAGTTGTACAAACCATGAACCCCAAATTGTTCAAAGCAGAGCAACATGTGAAATAAATAAATCAATTGCAAAAAAACATCTCCGTTACTCATCGTTTCTGCCCAATCAAAAGAATAATCTGGTAAACTATTTACGAATAAGTTGCCAACAACTATAAGGTTGCACATCAAAAATCATATCTAGTAAAGACTTGCAAGATGATACAACCATAGTAAAAGCTACCATTACACCACTTAAATCAAGTCGTTGCCAACAATCAATTTGTTGCACGTCAAAATCAAACAAAACGCCAATTCATTTACTATAGACGATACATGAACTCTTTAGATCGCAACCATCCATCGATCAACGACACATTTAACAACCTAATTATTGGAATACTATTATACGCATCAATATTTATTTAACAGGGTCTAAATGGCATCCAGGATAGATTTTAGTCATAATTCTAAACATGGTTAACATGGTTTAAAAGTATGAAACCTATATAATTAACGGTTAATTAGAAAATCAACTCAAGCATAGAACACACAATATAATGTCGAGAATCTCTAATGCATATTCAAGAGTCTAGTCTAGAATCTGGATGCATTAACGGTTAATTGCAAAATCAACTAAAGACAGTAAATTGAAAACAAGTGCGAGTACAATGCAGGAAAAATGACGTGCCTCCAGTCCAGAATCAATCGGACGTACAAAACAAATGCGATCTAACAAGAATGTTGCAGTAGCTTATGTATAATAGCATGCTTCTAATCTCCGAAAATCTGCAATGAAAATGCTTGCTGGAGCCGCAGGATAATGCCTGAACCACAGCGTACTGAAGACTGCAGTTAAGTCGAAAGGAAGCCCATTTCTCGAGCATCTGACCGCATCGAGTGGTGTACAGGTCGCTGGAGTTTATACTGTGACTGGAGGTGGAAAGTCGTCGAGGAATATGGTGGGTGTGTCGTTGACTGCGTGAGAGGGGTTTCGGAGAGCTGAAATCGAGGGTACAGGGTGCGCAGGCTTCAGTCCAGCTCTCCAGTGTTTAGATTGACTCCGGCGGTGGGGATGTGGCTGAGCGTCGATCGGAAATGGGGCTTGTGGAAGAGCTGGAGAAAACGAATTGGGGGAGGGGGGAAATGAGGCGCGGTCTACTAATTCTCCCTCCTTTTGTTCTCTGTATCTGTCGTTTTTTTCTTTTTTTTTTTTTAATTCTGCAAACGTCACCAATTTTTTGAATCCCTGTAGAAGACCTGAACCACCCCCTGTACCCCAAGCATTATTCAAAAAAGAAAGGGGGAAGGACCACTGCAGCACCGGTATAACTTCTGTGAGAAATTCCCTAGATGAATTACTCAATTATGAATTTTCAGTTGGACTCGATCAACAATTTTCCAATCAAGACCCCTTATTTGGGCTCCATTTTATTGAAATGTAGGGAAAAATATGTTTTAAAATATTGATATTTTTGAACAATGTGCAGTTAAAAAAAAGAAATATTTAGATTTATTTGTAATATTATTTTATAGAATAATGTGTGGTTGAAAGGAAGAAAGAAAAAAAAAGCATTATAATTTTAATGGTGGCCAAACAGGGGCTTAAGAGAATGGAGAGGTCATGCGTCTGATTTTTTCATGTCCTTATCTTGGAAAAAAAATGTATTATTGAATGTTGATTTTTTGGAGAATGTGTAGTTATAAAGTCAAAGAAAATCGATTTACATGTTAAATTTTTTATTGAAGAATATGTGGTCGAAAATAAGTTTGAAGAAATGGGACTCGAACAAGGACTTAAGAGTTTATTTGCAAAGATTTTCCAAAAAGAAAAATGATTTTTTAGAATGTGTTGTCAAAAAGCAGATAAAATTATGGATCTAAAAAATTGTGTGATTAAAAATAAAGCTGTTAATAAAAAATAGAGTTCAATTGAATGCTTAAGCCCTTGTTTGATGGCCCTTATTGAGAAAATTTGATATTTTGAATAATGATTTTTTGAAGAATGAGTGGTTAAAGGTAATAAAAATTTTGGATTTACGTCTAAAATATTTTATTGTGTTAATGCATAATTAAATCGAATATAAGAATTAAAGAATCTTGTTTTTATGGGAGACAAAGAGTGACTAAATTTCAAATTTACATTTTCAAAGAGCTGTTTGTAGAACATTTTAAAGTAAAAATTCTACCCATTTGAATACGAAAATAAAAGTTCGCAAATTTGACTCTCCACCTTTTGGGTTGGAATATACAAAAATTAACAAAAACGATTTTTTTTTTTCATAATTAGGCTATATTTTTTCAAAAAAATACATTCTTAAATATAATTTGACATCATTTCAACCACACATTCTTCATGAAACAGACACGCTTAATCCTAGTTTTGAACAAATGGTACACATAACTATATAGTAGAATTGCAGACACTACCGCCATCCAACATAACAAACATGGGAGTTGGGACATGTCTTTCGAGTTCAAAACACAATTGTCGAAACAACTGAAATAAATTCCAAACATTGGAGTTGGGACATGTCTTTCGAGTTTGAAACACAACTGTTGAATCATCTGAATTAGATTCCATAAACAAATCCAGAAGCATGAAACTTTTGTCTTGTAATAGCATCAATTTGGTGAATCATTTCAGGCTTCAAGTAGTTTATGTGATCACCAACTTTCCCATTTCTGAAAAATGAATTATACGGCAATGGAAAACACTCTGGCGTCTCACTCGACTTGTTAACTTCGTGATTACTCAACGTTTCAAAGCCACAACTTTTCACAATTTCCTCAATTTTTTCTTCTGCATTTTCACCTTCAAATGGACACCCAAGAAATCCAGCCAATCTTTTCACTTGTTTGTTTCCATCTTCCTTAAGTTCCTCGAAGGTAACAAAGAATACTTTCCAAGGCCTTTTAAGGCTTTCTTCCCTGTAAGCCAAAACATGATCATAATACGGGCCGAAAGGTAAAACCCCATTGCAGAACTGATCAACAGCAGCCTCTAGTGTCCATGGATCTTCGTGGAATTTCTTTGCTTTTTGTATGAAATGCCAAAGGGAAACGAGAGTGTCCTTTGGATTTCTTGTAACATAAACAATTTTACAATCTGAGGAGTTGAGGACATCGCCTATAATCTGGTAAGGAATATGGGTTCCAAGAATTCTAACTTTTTGATCAGTAAATTCAGGGTCTTTTCCATTGGATTCAAGAAATAGTTTTGTTTCTAGAGATGGAATGAGTTCATGGGGGTGGTTGAAAATCAGGGATTTTTCTTCTGAAGATCTGAAAATAATGGAATGTAAAAGAGCTTTAAGCCATGTAGTGCCAGTTTTGGGGAAAGAAGCAAGAATTACATCAGTTGGAAGTGGCTTGAAATTCTCAACAACCTTTTTTGTGGATTCAAGATAAGTTGTCCAAATCCAAGAGCCCTTAAATTTGTAGAGAAATTCATCAGAAAACCATTTTTGTTTTTGTATTGCTGAATCAGGATGAGGGTTTTGGTATGCAAAAGCTTCCATTGTTGAAGAAGAAAGGCTTCAATTGATGAAGAATTCAGTAGTCATTTTCATTTTATGCAGTAAAGAAGAAGGTGATAGAAAAGTTGGTTGGCAATTTAATTACTTATAGAAAAGTTTGTTGGCAATTTAATTACTTATAGAAAAGTTGGTTGGCAATTTAATTACTCACTGACAGTAAATGTGCGCCTCTACCGGACTTTGTGATATGTGCGCTATAAGAATATCTTATAGGAATGTTAAGTGGAACGAGCAACTTGTAGGCGAGCTCACTTCCAAGGCAAGCTGTGAATGTGAGCTGAACAACAAAAACCTTGTGTAAAATGAGTGGCTCACAAGCCAGCTTATGGTCAAGAGTTAAAATGTAATTTATAATTAAAAGAAACACGAGCAGTGAGTAGCTCGAGAGCTGATTCGTCAAAGTTGTATAAATTTCTAAGTAAAACAGGTTCATGCTTCGTAAATGGACATTTCTCTCAAACCAGCTAAAAAGGAAAAGAATAGCGCAACCTTTTGCACTTTAAAGCATTTAAGTGTCAAACTTCCCCTACCTTTCACCATTATTAAAGGTTGAATCTCAACTTTGAGGATCCCTACTGACCCGCCTCTAAAACTTTGTGAAGGAGGTAAATTGCAGAATGTACCCCAATAGGTCAGGCGACAAAAGTAGCTTGTACACTGTGCCTACAAAGAGTCCAATTCCATGTCTCAGGAATCGGACACCCACACCTTTCACCATTATTAAGTATGAGTTGGGTATTCAATGTACGGAATTGTTAGTTGACCTCTAAATAGATGAAGAATAGTTATATTCATACCATAATTTATTATGAATGTATCAAATTTTAATTGTATTAAAAGTTATTTATTGTCACGCTTATATTTTAACTTTTTCCTTTACGTTCTTTTATCCTTAATCATTCATTAATTAGTATGCTTTTTGTGTGTGCTTTAAAATGAGGGATAGAAAATTTAGTCACAATTTTGCCGTTTTTGTCTACCATTTTTAACCACATTCTCACAATAAATATTTTTCACATAAATCACAAACTTTTTCCTATTTTTTAGCCAATGAGTAACTATGCACCTTTTATGTCCCTTAATATGTCAAGTTCAACTTATAAGGAGATGGAATTCCAACCACAATATTAAAAACAATTTTTCCTTGATTATAAAAAGGACACACATCAAACTCGATTAATTAAAAATAATTGTTAATGTTAAATAAACTTGTTTATTTTAATAAGTCAGTAATCCGGAAATAATTTTAAACCATTGTATAATTGTTCTTTTAATTATTGAAAATGCATTTTTTCCGGCAATTTACACAAATAGGAATAAAATATGGGCTGAATTTGAAAAATATTGATTTTTGTTACATTTTGCAAATACATCTTCAACTGGTGCTCAAGGAAAAATATGACAATTATAGTTTATGTAATTTTTTCTCCATGTATTTTATGTAATGGTTTTGAGACGACTTTAATTTATATCATGTGTTAATTTTATTAAATTATATGTGATTTTTTTTAAAAGTGTAACTTACTCTATTTGTTAATTCTTTGTAACTTTAACAATTTTATAGTAAGTGATGGTTCGGTAGCTTCCAAAGAATTAAAAAGTTCATAACCCAAACTGGTATGAGGGCTTCGAAGATGTGATTTTGTTTCCCCTTTTTCCTTGCAAATCCATTCATTTAGGTCGGTAGACTAAGTCACCCGCGGCCTTCTCATTTCAAAGCAAATTGACATAACTCTCACCAACAGAGCTCATTTTGTCATGTTGTTGGGATATTCGGACGATAATTTAAAATAGTTGATGGATAATTTATTGACACCACAAACTCGGCTTGACTCGACTCAAATATGATTGGCACTCGACTCAACGGTTTTCTGGTGTCTTCTCCGATGGGGAATGTAAAACTTCAAATGGGGAATGAGCTTCCCACAGACGGCGCCAAATTGTTGACCTCCAAAAATGGCTCCTCCACGTGGCCAACTTATAGCTACTCCACGTATCCTCCCTGCGAAATGAACAAATGGTCAGGTGCACACGGCCGGAACCGACGGGGGTGGCGGCCGTATATACTCCGACGGTCAAGTCAGGTTTGGGTGATCGGAACAGTGCCTTGGGGCTACACAAATCAATCAATAAAGGGGGAGGAGAATATATAAACTTGTTATGGAATGCTATGTATTGAGAGTTTCATTACCTTTGCCTCTTGCCAAACTGTGGGTATTTATAGGTGGTATGAACCGTGGGATGTGGAACACGTGTATACATCTGATGGTATGAAGCGTCTGCTCATAGGCGTCAATCAGCCGCGCTTGTAGAGTAGTCGGACAGTTTGTTTCCCCCGAGTTGAATTGACATAAAGTTGATAAATCACATCAAATAGCTTCATGGGGACGTCAAATCAATTTAAACCTTATATGCAGAACAAATCTTAAATTGGCGGCGGATCTTCTAATCGGGGTCCACCTGAACCCGACCTCGGAGGTGGGATACTTCGGCACATCAGTAGTAGGAATCGATGTATCACTTCGGAGAAGCTTCGGGAGGGTCGGAGTGGTCTATTTGATCTTGGCTTCGGTGGTGAGATGACACTTCGGTATCGAGGCTCATAAAATGAGGCGTAACAGTCATAATTCTCAACCATCGAGAACAATTAAAATGCACAAAGAAAAATAAATACACAAGAAAATTCAAGAAAAATAAACACTTAAATCAATCCGCATGCATGTTACGCACATAATAATAATTAGATTTAAGAGCTTAAATGGTAACATACCCTTCATGAAACAGACACACGTAATCCTAGTTTTGAACAAATGGTACACATAACTATATAGTAGAATTGTAGACACCACCGCCATCCAACATAACAAACATGGGAGTTGGGGCATGTCTTTCGAGTTTGAAACACAACTGTTGAATCATCTGAATTAGATTCCATAAACAAATCCAGAAGCATGAAACTTTTGTCTTGTAATAGCATCAATTTGGTGAATCATTTCAGGCTTCAAGTAGTTTATGTGATCACCAACTTTCCCATTTCTGAAAAATGAATTATACGGCAATGGAAAACACTCTGGCGTCTCACTCGACTTGTTAACTTCGTGATTACTCAACGTTTCAAAGCCACAACTTTTCACAATTTCCTCAATTTTTTCTTCTGCATTTTCACCTTCAAATGGACACCCAAGAAATCCAGCCAATCTTTTCACTTGTTTGTTTCCATCTTCCTTAAGTTCCTCGAAGGTAACAAAGAATACTTTCCAAGGCCTTTTAAGGCTTTCTTCCCTGTAAGCCAAAACATGATCATAATACGGGCCGAAAGGTAAAACCCCATTGCAGAACTGATCAACAGCAGCCTCTAGTGTCCATGGATCTTCGTGGAATTTCTTTGCTTTTTGTATGAAATGCCAAAGGGAAACGAGAGTGTCCTTTGGATTTCTTGTAACATAAACAATTTTACAATCTGAGGAGTTGAGGACATCGCCTATAATCTGGTAAGGAATATGGGTTCCAAGAATTCTAACTTTTTGATCAGTAAATTCAGGGTCTTTTCCATTGGATTCAAGAAATAGTTTTGTTTCTAGAGATGGAATGAGTTCATGGGGGTGGTTGAAAATCAGGGATTTTTCTTCTGAAGATCTGAAAATAATGGAATGTAAAAGAGCTTTAAGCCATGTAGTGCCAGTTTTGGGGAAGGAAGCAAGAATTACATCAGTTGGAAGTGGCTTGAAATTCTCAACAACCTTTTTTGTGGATTCAAGATAAGTTGACCAAATCCAAGAGCCCTTAAATTTGTAGAGAAATTCATCAGAAAACCATTTTTGTTTTTGAATTGCTGAATCAGGATGAGGGTTTTGGTATGCAAAAGCTTCCATTGTTGAAGAAGAAAGGCTTCAATTGATGAAGAATTCAGTAGTCATTTTCATTTTATGCAGTAAAGAAGAAGGTGATAGAAAAGTTGGTTGGCAATTTAATTACTTATAGAAAAGTTTGTTGGCAATTTAATTACTTATAGAAAAGTTGGTTGGCAATTTAATTACTCACTGACAGTAAATGTGCGCCTCTACCGGACTTTGTGATATGTGCGCTATAAGAATATCTTATAGGAATGTTAAGTGGAACGAGCAGCTTGTAGGCGAGCTCACTTCCAAGGCAAGCTGTGAATGTGAGCTGAACAACAAAAACCTTGGGTAAAATGAGTGGCTCACAAGCCAGCTTATGGTCAAGAGTTAAAATGTAATTTATAATTAAAAGAAACACGAGGAGTGAGTGGCTCGAGAGCTGACTCGTCAAAGTTGTATAAATTTCTAAGTAAAACAGGTTCATGCTTCGTAAATGGACATTTCTCTCAAACCAGCTAAAAAGGAAAAGAATAGCACAACCTTTTGCACTTTAAAGCATTTAAGTGTCAAACTTCCCTACCTTTCACCATTATTAAAGGTTGAATATCAACTTTGAGGGTCCCTACCGTCTCGCCTCTAGAACTTTGTGAGGGAGGTAAATTGCAGGATGTACCTCAACAGGCCAGGCAACGAGAGTTGTCTGTACACTACGCCTACAAGGAGTCCAATACCATGTCTTAGAAATCGGACCCCCACACCTTTCACCATTATTAAGTACGAGTTGGGTATTCAATGTATGGAATTGTTAGTTGACCTCTAAATAAATGAAGAATAGTTATATTCATACCATAATTTATTATGAATGTATCAAATTCTAATTGTTAAAGGTTGAACTCCAACTTTGAGAGTCTTTACCGCCTCGTCTCTAAAGTTTTGTAAGGGAGGTAAATTACGGGATGCGTCCCAACAGGTCAGGCAACAAGAGTTGCCTGTATATTGTGCCTACAAGGAGTCCAATCCCATGTTTCAGGAATCGGACCCCCACACCTTTCACCATTATTAAGTACGAGTTGGGTATTCAATGTATGGAATTGTTAGTTCACCTCTAAATAGATTAAGAATAGTTATATTCATACCATAATTTATTATGAATGTATCAAATTTTAATTGTATTAAAAGTTATTTATTGTCACGCTTATATTTTAACTTTTTCCTTTACGTTCTTTTATCCTTAATCATTCATTAATTAGTATGCTTTTTGTGTGTGCTTTAAAATGAGGGATAGAAAATTTAGTCACAATTTTGCCGTTTTTGTCTGCCATTTTTAACCACATTCTCACAATAAATACTTTTCACATAAATCACAACTTTTTCCTATTTTTTAGCCAATGAGTAATTATGCACCTTTTATGTCCCTTAATATGTAAAGTTCAGCATCACTGAAATATTTACTACGATAATCAACTTATAAGGAGATGGAATTCCAACCACAATATTAAAAACAATATTTCCTTGATTATAAAAAGGACACACATCAAACTCGATTTATTAAAAATAATTGTTAATGTTAAATAAACTTGTTTATTTTAATAAGTCAGTAATCCGGAAATAATTTTATACCATTGTATAATTGTTCTTTTAATTATTGAAAATGCAGTTTTTACAGGCAATTTACACAAATAGGAATAAAATATGGGCTGAATTTGAAAAATATTGATTTCTGTTACATTTTGCAAATACATCTTCAACTGGTGCTCAAGGAAAAATATGACAATTATAGTTTATGTAATTTTTTCTCCGTGTATTTTATGTAATGGTTTTAAGACGACTTTAATTTATATCATGTGTTAATTTTATTAAATTATATGTGATTTTTTTAAAAGTGTAACTTACTCTATTTGTTAATTCTTTGTAACTTTAACAATTTTATAGTAAGTGATGGTTCGGTAGCTTCCAAACAATTGAAAAGTTCATAACCCAAACTGGTATGAGGGCTTCAAAGATGTGATTTTGTTTCCCCTTTTCCCTTGCAAATCCATTCATTTAGGTTCGTAGATTGAGTCACCCACGGCCTTCTCATTTCAAAGCAAATTGACATTAACTCTCACCAACAGAGCTCATTTTATCTTGTTGTTGGGATATTTGGACGATAATTTAAAACAATTGATGGATAATTTATCGACACCACAGACTCGGCTCGACTCAAATACGATCAGCACTTTTGAAGGGTCCAAGTTTGAGTTGGATTGGTAGTTTGATTAGTGTGTTATTTTGGATTATTGTTAGTCTACTAACTTAGTCCATTTAGCATGTTATTAAATTGGCCCATTTAGGTGAAGTTTTTTGGCCCAATTATTTGTGACCTAATCCATTTATATATCCATCTCCTGTAGCCATTTTCTTGTGGTGGTGTGTGTGTTGTGCAAGAGAGACAACGAGAGAAAGGAGACAGAGAGGGGTAGCCGACTTGGGGGAATTGGTAGAGATTTTCACCATTGTTACTTCTTCTTCTTCTTACTCTTGCTAGTGTCACCACCATCCATTCTCCTTTGTAGGGTTTGAGAGAACTTGGAGCAAAGTGGACATTTGGTTTGGGTTGAGCCTTGGTGGTTGTGATGTTCATTTGATTGTGTTTCTGAGTCCGGAATCAAAGATTTCTCGAAGATTTTCATGTCACATATATTTCTCGAATTTAAAAATTTTATTGAACTTTAAATCACACTTTTATTAAGAATACGATTTTTAGCAAAACATAACATGAGCTCTATAATATTTCTGAGGCTCTACTCATAATCTTAACATTAAATTTGCCCTCTTTTTATTATATATTATTATAATTATTATTAATGCTATTTATACATCATTATATATAGATTCAAATTAATGATATGAATTATATAAATTAACTTCATTTTCTTTTCTTTTCTTTCCTTTTTTCTCTCTTTCTCTTCCTCTCTTCCAAAACGTGGTTTTTACTCTATCCTTCTTTTATTCTTCACTTCTCTCTCTCTCTCTCTCTCTCTCTCTCCAGCATCATCAATATGTATATCAATCTACATACAATGATGTATAAATAGCATTACTCATTATTTATTTCTATTTTTCTTTAATAGACTAAGAATCACGATCAAATTTGAGATCAAATAAAAAATCATATCCTCTAAAAAAATTATTTATCTAGATACAACTCTTTGTGTCAAGCGTTTCCATCTAGACGTGGGAGTTTGACACTTATCAGACAGAATGCAAGAAAATATTTTTAGAATGTGGGCTATGTGTAAATTATCAATTATCTCAAACATTGAGAATGGCTTTATTGTATCGAATTATATTTTATAAATTTTTTACATGGTTTTCCGCTATTTACAAACAAAACTTGAAGATGAAGAAAGAGATGAGGAAAATACCAGGATTTGGTACGTCTAGAAGGGAGGTTGGAGAATTGAAGTAAAGAGTTGAGCCCTAGGTTAAAGATGAGTAGAAGGATAAAAATTGTAATTTCGGCTTGGTGTAGTTTGCTCAAGCGAAAACAATTATTAATCCCCGTTTGATGTTCAATATCTAAAAATTTATTTTTTTAAACTCATTTTCAATGACATATTGTCACAAAAAGAAAAAAAAATATTTTAAACCTAAAAACTTTTGTACTATTTAATCACACATTATCCAAAAATTCATTATTACAAAACTCATTTGTAAACAAAAATGAGGCTCAATTATAAGCTAAAAAAGTAGGCCTCCGCCTCAAGTGAGTTATAGCTTTTAGTTCAAGCGGACTGGATAGAGACAAGAATTCAACCCCCATTTGTTTCCAATTTTTTGTCCAATTTCAATGCATTTTCGGACCGTTGCTACGTTGTAAGCCGTGATTTTTTTACTTTTTCTCTTACATAGATCCCATGTGCTGATAGGAAAATGGTCAAAAAATGCATTTTTGCCTTCAAACAATTGGAAACAAACGGGGGCTCAAATCATGGTTGAGGATGGATTGAGGAACTTGATTCAATTTTGGAAAATTAAAAGATAATTGTTTCAATTAGAAAGTACAATATCAATTATCAAGTAATAATTAATCGTCTTGTTTGGCACATTAATAAATAATTATAAATAAGAATAATATTGCAGAGTTGTTACTAAACTCGAGAATAGATTGCTTGCGCACAAACAAAAAGAATGCATAAATTTCAACAATAATTTTATCACTTTCCGAAAGTTTTCTAAAATTAAATCCCGTGAATGAGCCAGGAGGGCTTAATTTTCTAAACCCGTGAAGAAAGAGGACCCCTCAAGCCAAAACTATAAATGTAGGAATGTTTTTACTATACGAAAGAATTTGTGAAAATCATTGTCACTTGAGTTTATGTGGCAAAGACATGTGAATGTTTTAAACTTTAACGTAGTATCAACTCGAAAAAGATAAATTATTAAAGAATTTAATCAGGGACGGATCCAGGTTTGAATTAAAGATCGGACTAAAAAATTTTTAAATCAAACTAATACGCGAAAAAAAAATTTACTCATTAAAAATTTGTTTTTACAAAAGGAAAATTACCCTAAAAAATTTTAATTGGACCAGGTGAGGGGGGACTACAGCCCAGCTAGTCCCCCCCTTAAATCCGTCCTTGAATTTAATGGAAATCAAATTAATGTATCAACTCGGAAAGGATGAACACGTCAATTCGTCTTTGAATAATGCTATATATACATCTTTCTTTACAATTTGGATGACATTCCTCCCTATGTGGAGGAAATTTGTGCAATGATATGATAGATGAGTTTAAAATCAAGAATTCGTTTTTGAATAATGTTATATATACATCTTGATGTGCGAAAACAAACTTATTGGTATTTTGACAATACAATCGAAGGATGTGAGAGGATAGATGAAGAGCGATTTTTGGATTAGGATAAGTATCGTTTTACGTCGATTGATCGTGGAAGAATGTGCAGTGTGGTTAAACAGTTTAGAAAGATATTGTTTCCTTATTTGAAAATTTTCTCTCTCCAGTTTTAACGTAAAAAGTGAGAATGGATAGAGTTAATAAATATATTAAAATTTTAATAAATAACTAATTATGACCTGATTTTTTGTATTAAGAAACCTAA